CGTGAGAACTTCACGGATGGCAGTGGAACATTGTATGATTGTGGGGTAGGGGACATGAAGATGAGTCCATCAGGTTGGAAGGCACACAGAATAGGACTGGAGGAGAGCTACTTCGTAAAGCAGAGTGAGTTGACTTTAATGGCATGGGGAGAATAAGATTTCAGAACCTTCAGTTGCTGATGTGACATGACTCAAAATGAGAAGAAACAGCTGCAAGCATAATAATCAGAATGTAGAACATGCAAAGAATGAATCTAGGAAAACTGGAAGTCATAATAAACGAAACAGAAATATCAATGTGAGTGTTCGGAATGGCATGGGGATGGTATCAGACCCTACAAGGTGAAAGGTGACTCAAATGCAGCATTAACCCAAGGTCAATTCCTACGAGGTAGAGGTCAAACATGCAAACCCTCCAACATTCTTGGCCAATTCTGACACCAATCTTGAGAGCCCAAGCACTGTCTAATTCTCCACTAGATTCAATAATTCATTTCTATGACCACACAGAACTCATATACAATACTCATGATTATGGGGGTTATTAAGGAAGTGACCAGGCTACAATTCAGGTTCAGAAAAGCTCAGGATACAGTTCTTTGGCCAGAAGTGCCTCTTCTTAGCTGTGTTCACAGGCATACCATTATCTGGTTCTTGGCCTCCCAGCCAGGGGACCCTTTGGCGTCTGCAACACTCATGCAGTTTGCAAAGCTCTTTCAATGCTGCTAATGGATGCCCAGGAGACACTTCATTCATAAGTGTCAATGCAAAGGCTCTCAGCTCTAGTTCTGTGGGTTAGAAAACGTGGGTCCTCCCTTTCGCAAACCAATGACTTGTTCATAACACGCACCTGTTTTCAACAACACAAACGGCAACTTTGCACACAGACTTTTCCACATAGAACACACAGAAATCAAATTGACTCCTGTGGGAAAAGACGATGGAGAAACTCAATATCTGTAGCTAAAACCAGGCCAGGCACTGACTGTGGAACAGATCATAAACTGCTCATATATAAATTCAGGCTGAAGCTAAAGAAAAGTAAAACAAGTCCACCAGACCCAAAATACAATCTTGAGTCTATTGCACGTGAATCTGGAGACCATCTCAAGAGAGATTTGATGCACTAAACATACTGACAGTAGACATGATGAGCTGTGGGAGGACATCAAGGACCTCATTTGTGAAGAAAGCAAAAAGGCATTCCAAAGACAGAAAAGAAAGAAAAGGGCATAGTGGATGTCAGAAGAGACTGAAACCGGCTCTTATCTCTGTAGTAGCTAAAGCAAATGGAAGAAACGCCTTGTAGTATTCCCATACATCCAGAAAAGACAGACCACCCAGGGGAAGACAGGAGCTACATACATGGATGGGCATCTCTGAAAAATGGGCACAAGTGTAGCAAATAAACTTTGTTTCTTGTGGAATTAAATTTTTTTAAGTTTCAATTAAATATGTCTATGAGTAATTTATAGTTAATCCCCAGTCTTATTTTGGCTGATGATATTGAACTTCTCTATCCTCTCTTTTGACAGATGTAGTCCATGTGATTGGTCAATCTTGTTATCCCTCTGGGTTTAAAGTGAATCATCCCAGAAGCAGCCTCTGCTGCAGCTGCTTCTCTGCCGTTCCTTTGAGGTCACCGCTCTCAGTGTCCTGAATCAAGGAGGTTCTGTGCACAGGATCTTGGGATCCAACGGACCCACTCCACCCCTGGCTCTTCTTTCTGGATGGTAGTGATAGCCTCCTTCCTGCTTTAGACAGAAAGTTCTCTAAAGCAGTCAGTGCTGTTTAACTGCCAAGTCTACAAGATCAAAGTCTCGGAATCATTCTGGCACTTGGCAGGTGTGTGACCAACATTACCGGCTGCCATTCCTGCTCTTTGCCCTGTTGCTGCATTTTGTTCTGGCCCCACTTGCTCTCTCCTGGTTTCCATTGTACTGACCTCTCAACTTCTCCCACCAGCACTCAACCTGCTCTAGTCTTCAGTCCCTCAAAGCTTCACAGGTGCCTATAGGCACCGAGGGTGGTAGTGTGTCTGCAGCAAGATCACTAGATGTGGAGACTATCGGATGAAGCTTTCCATCCTGTAAAGTGTTACAGTCTCAGAAACGAACAGGAGCCGTTCTGCTTGTCCTACAGGGGTGCTATGAGACAGAATCCACTTGATGGCAGGGAGTTTGAAGTGATGACTTATTTTCAACAAGTGACTTCAGGACCACCTTATGGCCTTACATAATAACCAAGTGGCATTTTGAATTCATGTAGGCTGTAACAGGGTCTCAGGAGCCCAGAGCATCATTTTCTGGACTTAAGTCATGTGGAATCTGTGTTTTCCAACATATTCATTTTCCTGTTATACCATAGGAAATAGGGCTGAATCTGAGCTTCAAGTCTTCAAATCTCAATTCGTCTTTAAAGCTGTAACTATATGGTGTCTGCTGTACACTGTGTCAGTTAATACATCCTGGGCTCCTAGGTACATTTTGGGGAATCGCCTCGTGTGTTCAGTAAGTTGTTAGAAGAGCTGAGCCAACCTCTCAAAGTCCACATTGAAGGTGGACTGGACAGTCAAGGGAACGCTCGTCAGAACTTGTTTCTGGCAGTGGGTTCAGGCACATCATCAATGCATGCCAGTTTCAAAGGTTGTTTTTCAAATAATTTGGCTTCAGTTACTAAGTAAGAAAGATTGAAGAGTTTACTTTGTATTATTTCTAACTTTTTGATTTATTATCAAAGAGAGTGTTTGCGTTTTCTCATTTGCCAAGTTTTCTTCAGTGCTGTAGTACAGAATTGATTTTTGTAACTGGCATGAACACACAAATAAAATGTTGATTTTCCGGTTTCAAAACTGAGTTTAATGAAATAATTGTCCATTTATTCTCTGTTTTATTATTTTTTGTACAAAGTCTGTCAAATTCTGAAAACTTATTTTAATTTCTTAAAGCAAACTGTCCATGTATCAAGTCACAGAACGTTTGCT